ATAGCACAGATCTTGAAAGAGAAGAAACTAACACAAATGACCACAATCCATATGTCCACAATTATACTCCATTCAAAATTCTTGAGTGTTGTCCTGTAGAAGTCTTAACTATTACTGAACATTAAGGAATCTAAAAATGATTTGAATACCTACTGCTTGACAAGTGTTACATACATATAGTCTCACTTGATCCCTACAATTACCAAACAATAAAAATACTATTATTCTGATTTATAAATGTATAGGTAAGGAAACAGACCAAGAGTGGTTAAAATCAGGTAGGAAAAGATCATGTAGTTAATGAATGACACCCAGGATTTGATCTCTTCGACTACAAAACTGACACTTCGCATTAAACCTCCCTGTTCCTATTATACAAATAATGGCTAAGTCACTAATGAATTGCAATTATCAGCATTATTTGTCTGACTATAACGAGTAAAATGACACATATTACAAATATGAGTCAAATTCTGTAAATTTAAAATAATTAAATCCATCCAAAGGGACAAATGAATAAGAGAAGAGCCAAAGCCACCAACACCAATAAAGGTAAAGATTTTTTTTTAAAAAAAAGAAACAGACTAGTAGAGGAAAAAAAATTTTAAGTAGAAAGAAGTATAAGCTTGCTGTACATTGCCAAGAAATTTTATTATTCAAAGAGCAAGAAAGATCCTCAATGTAGCTGAAGCTATGATGTACTAGGGCCTGGAAAGAATCTCTCTGCAATGATAATGTTGCCTGGTGCTATCTATAGTGTTGGTTAACACTTTAAAATTAGATAACTTGACCCAAATTTGCCTTGAACATTTTTGAAGAGTTATACACAAAATGGAAAAGAAACAGAAAAGACAATGAGAAAGAGATCTGAGATACTTGGAATTATTTATCCTAAGGATAAAAAAGCAAAGGGGTGATGATCATTTAAAAGTTGCTTGGTCTTCATCAAAATGATGTATCCACATATAAACATACAGGAAAAAAATATGTCTAAATGCCACTAATATAACTTCTTTAACTACTAGGAAGATCTTTCAAACATTAGTTAACATGAATCAAAATGTTAGATATGTTTAAAAGTAGTTCATTCACAAATCAGATTGATACCTTTTTCACAAATAATCAAAAACACAACTTTAATAATGAAAAGTCCAAAAATGATACAAGTCAATCTCTTTCCCATGATATCCCAGTCTCTCAACAACTACAATTTCTCCTCACTGAATTCTACTAGTAGGGTAATATCAAACAAAAAAATATTTTATTGATATTTCTTCCTCCAAATCGTATTAAAGTGTGATTGTCTATAGGAAATAAATGTTGGCAGAAACTGCACTCTGCAGAACTAATTATTAAATAGATGAGAAGGGGGACTATCTTTAAGAATGTCTACTAGTAGTTCAAGTTAGGGAAGAATACAGATGTGAATGAAATGTTTCTTTCTATATTTGATAAATGTTTTAGTTTTGATAAATAATATCACATAGGACTTTAACTTTTAAAAGGTACAAAAAAACTCACATAAATAAGGATACTACATATAAAAAGCTTTCAAACGACCAGGTGCAGTGGCTTACACCTATAATCCTAGCACTCTGGGAGGCCAAGGCGGGCAGATCGTTTGAGCTCAGGATTTCGAGACCAGCCTGAGCAAGAGCAAGACCCCATCTCTACTAAAATAGAAAAAATTAGCCAGGCATGGTGGCGCATGCCTATAGTCCCAGCTACTTGGGAGGCTGAGGCAGGAGGATCGCATGAGCCAGGAGTTTGAGGTTGCTATGAGCCAGGCTGACACCGCATCACTCTAATCCAGGCAACACAGTGAGACTCTGTCTCAAAAAAAAAAAAAAAAAGCTTTCAAGCATTTTTTGATGCATTTCTGGTTTTTTAAATATTTTTATACTATAAAAGTAAAGGCAAAGAACAATAGAAGTACCTACCAGATAGAATTTAAACCAAACCACTAAAGATAACAAAATTATCTTTTTCTTATCTTTTAGTATTATGATATATTCTGGCAAATGAGAAAAAAATGACCAAACTAAAGAATATTAAATATAATTAGAGAAAATAAAATTTCTATATATACTATTGTACAATTGATTAAAATCAACAGTTTCTCTCAATACGTAATTATATTTCGATAAACACAACTGTCTTAGAAATTTATCTTTTTTTTTTTGGCCGGGCGCAGTGGTTCACACCTATATTCCTAGCACTCTGGAAGGCCAAGGCAGGTAGATCACTTAAGGTCAGGAGTTTGAAACCAGCCTGAGCAAGTATGAGACACTGTCTCTATTAAAATAGAAAGAAATTAATTGGCCAACTAAAAATATATAGGAAAAATTAGCCAGGCATGGTGGCGCATGCCTGTAGTCCCAGCTACTTGGGAGGCTGAGGCAGAAGGATTGCTTGAGCCCAGGAGTTTGAGGTTGCTGTGAGCTAGGCTGATGCCAGGGCACTTGCTCTAGCCTGGGCAACAAAGTGAGACTCTGTCTCAAAAAAAAAAACTTTTTTTTTAAAGAGACAATATCTGGCTCTCACCAAGGCTGGAGTGCAGTGGCGCAATGATAGTTCATTATAACCTCACGCAATAATCCTACTTGCCTCCCAAAGCACTGGGATTACAAGTGATGGCCATCTTGACTGCAATGAATATGAAGTAAGTCTCTAACTTGATTTTTTCAATTGCACATGCATTTTCCCCAAGCCTATTTGTTGAATAATTTATTTCTTCCTCCTTATATTTTTATCATTTATTATTTCTATATACTATATTACAATTCTAGGCTGGGCATGATGGCTCACGCCTATACACCTAGCACTCTGGGAGGCTGAGGCAGGAGGATCACTTGCACTCAGTTGTTTCAGACCAGCCTGAGCAAGAAGGCAAGACCTCCGTCTCTACTAACGATAGAAAAAATTATCTGGGTGTGGTAGTGGACACCTGCAATCCCAGCTACTCCAGAGGCTGAAGCAGGAGGATCAGAAGGATCACTTGAGCCCAGGAGTTTAAGGTTACAGTGAGCTACCACAATGCCACTGCACTCTATCATGGGTTACAGAGAGAGACTTTGTCTGGAAAAAAAAAAAAAAATTCTACTGATCTATTTGTCAAATTTTCTATCATTACCACACTATCAATCACTAACATCTGGTTAAGTGAGTTCTCCCTCACTGCTGTTGGCTATTCTCATCACTGTTTTTTCTTCCAGATTAAGTTCAGAAATAAGATACTCCAAAAGTCCAGTTGGGATTATGTCTACAATGTTATTAACCCCAAGAAATTATCTGGAAGGAATATGAGTCTTTATGGTATTTAGCCTTCCTAAAATTAGGAACATGAAATGAACTGCTACTCACATCTTCCTTTATGTTATGAAGTAAAATTTTGTATCTCTTCCTGTAGGCTTCCTCATTTCTTGTTAGCTATTTTTAAATCATATTTTCTATATTTAGTTCAGAATGGGAACCACTCAATTTATATTTTCTAACTAATTGTTTTGGTATAGTATAAAATGATTCTATAGTAATTTCATACCTAGTTGCCTTCTTGAATTCTCTTATTGATTCCTGCTGATTCTTATAAACAAGAAATGTACTATTCAACAAATGGTACAAAAAATGGAACGGAGGGGATTGGCATGATACTTACCAATCTGGTGTATTTTGTCATACACCAAAATAAATTCCAGAAAGATTAAAAAGTTAATGGTTAAAAAACTAAATAATAAAAATGAGAAAATATAAAGTCAAATATTTAACTGATTGGGGATGAATAAAGAATTTTTAAGGATGAAAGTAATTTTTAAAAATTATCAAAGATACAAAGGCATACCTATATTAAATTCAGTATTTCCAAATAATCAAAGAAAATTAGTAGATAAACATCAAAATGAGAAACATATTTGGCACAAGTAACAGTTAAATGGAATAAAATCCTAAATACATAGAAGGTTCTTAAAAATCAATAAGAGGAAAAAATAATACCCATAGGAAGGTAGGCAGAAGGAATGAACAGATAATTCATAGAAGATGTCAAATGCAATAAACATAAAATCATTCAACTTCACAATCAAACTATGATTAAAATGACAAAGATAGCATTTTTAAGGCCTATTCACTTGGCAAAGAGTTAGTGTATTGAGATCAAAAGCTCAAGTGCATATGACAGGAATAAAGCATGTTACAACCTTTCTAGGAAGCAAGTGCGTAATCTGAATTAAAGTTTAAAAGAATCCAAAGCATAAATATATATTTTTGAAATACTCAGAGATATAAGCAAAAATTGTGTATAAAGATAGCCATTATAATATTATTTACATTAGCAACTGGAAGCAACCGCAATGCCCCATATAGCAAAGTATTTAGCTTGTAGTATATTCTTAAGATAGACCATTAGTGCAGCTATTTAAAACATATTTCTAAAGAACATCTAAGGGCTTAGAAAAAAAGATGATGATATGATATTAACTGAAAAAAATCAAGATACAAAATTATAAATAGTATGATACCAATTTTATAAATCTGTAAACTATACATGCATAGGAAAAAAGAAAGAAAAAATAAGAACAGGTTAACAATGGTTATATTTGGGTGAAAGGAATATGGATAGCTTATATTTCATTCTTCATACTTTAAGAAATTTTTCAGATGTTCTATAGTGAACATATTATTACTTTTATAAAGAGATACAAAAAACAAAAGTTATTTTTAAAACTATAGCTAATAGATATTTTTTAAATATGCCATCAAATGATGCAGGAAAACTTTCCAAAACAAAGTAATTTTAAAAAATCAATAGACTTTTCTTATACATGAACAACAGAAGATACTTTTTCATAAGTTGAAATATTCTTCACATGACCAACACAACTAAAGATTTTAAAAATAAAGGTAGCAATATCTATTAAATGTTTACTCACAAATACAACCTAAAAAAAACCCCCAAAAAACCTTAACTAATCAATTACAGCAACATGGGTGATTAGAGAGCTTACCTTTTTCACTTACACTCTCACTTTCAATCTCAACATCATCACAGCTTGTATACTCAGGTGTGGAAGCCAATTCCTCCTCTGAACTGCTCAACGAAACCTGGCGCATTTTACCTCCTTTCTTTGATTTATGAGGCTTTGGTGGTGGAGGTCTCACTGACTCTGACTGGTCTGAACTGAGAGAATCATTCCTTAACATCGTTTCCATTTTTTCTCGTTTCGTTTTCCTTACAGCAGAGCTAGGATCTAAGTGGTGTTGCTTCCTTAGTGAGTCAGTACGCCTCATGTCTGCTCTATCAATGGGTATTGGACTCCTCCGAGGGGTAGGAGGACTATGGTTTGTGGTCCTTTGTGGGTAAGGACTTGGTCCCTGAGCCTCTCGAGTTCTTTCCATTGAATAAGATCGCTGATTTTCCATGGCAGCTCTACGTTCAGATATAGATCTTTGCCTGGATGGTCGGTCCATCCTTAGCATAGAAATCCTGGAATCTTCCAGTTCGGCATTTGCCAAAGAAACATCACTATGCCTTCTCTCATGCCGTGCTCGGGACACTTCAGCATGGATACGCATTTGCTCTTCATAGGGTTGTGGCTTGACTGGATAACGGGCCAAATTCGGATCACTTCGGTAGCGTGCCTGGTACTCCTCCTCTCTCCTTTGTCTCTCATATTCATCTCTGCTTTCCACATCCTCATCATCTACAATATATTCTTTGGAATGCCTATGACTTCTTCTGTTGGAGTCCCTATAATTTAAATGATCAGATTCTTCATAAAACTGAGGTTCACGTTGTGATCGCCTATCAGCATAATCTGATGGAGATCTAGGCATTGCGCTATCCGAAGTAGCATACTGTGAATATTCCTCTCTTTCTTCCTGTTGGTCGTATCTTCTGTTCTGATCTCTGGACACTGATGGACTCCTTTTCCTAAGTAAGCAAAGGAAAAAAACAATAAAAAGAGAAAAATTTAAATAATTTTACATTTCACTGATTTGCTGGCAGGTTAATGGATAAATTCAAATGGTTCTTTTGTCTTTTTTTTTTTTCATTTCATTTTGAAGGTATACAATAATGGTTTTAGTAATATTAATTTTATTCAATTCAAATAAGTAATTTAAAAGGTACTTTTGTTGTAGTTATTAAATGCCTGAAACACTATATACAGAATATACTCCAAAATTATATAATCAACATCATATTCTGCTGTTGTAAAATTGTCTTTATTCTAATTTCCTTGCTTGGCTTGTTATACTTGTACTATCTTCAAACTGTTATTCAGTAGCTTAGAAAAATACCTCCTTCCATTTGCTCTATTCCTGACACCTTGATAGGAAAATTACTTGAAAAAGTCATGAAGTCAAACTGACTTGGCTCAAAAGTTGAATACTTTCTGACTGAAACTAAGTGCTGCCCTTTTAAAAATTAGTTTTCATTCATCATCTATCTAGATCACTCCTAGTATTGGTTGATCTAAATCTTTGTTTTATCATTATGTCTCCAACCCTTTTTTACTGATCAAACTTGAGATAAGCACTGTAAATAAATATCAACAATAATTTATTTAATATAAAAATTCTAGAAGTCAGAAAGGGTTGCTATTTTTACTCGATCTTCATTAAGATTAAGGCCAGCTTGGTGATATTTTTCTATTCAGTCTTCACATCTGACCCCTCATATTTCCTTAGAGTCTTAGAGGGGAAAAAAAAATGCTTATTAAGTTCCCAACCTGCCCTTTTAACACTTGTATAACCTAGTGGACCTTGCAATCACTTATAATGCTCTGTTAATGAAACAGTCACACTGTCTTCTTCTCCGGAATGAATTCAGATAAAGTGAACTATTAGTCATGAGAAGCAATAAGATTGGAATACTGAAGACAATAGAAACAGTTTAAATGTGCAACGTTTGGGGGATGGACACGCTTGAAGCTCTTACTCGAGGGGGCAGGGGGGCATGAGCAATATATGTAACCTTAACACTTGTACCCCCATAATACACTAAAATAAAAAAATTAAAAAAAAAAAGAAAAGAAACAGTTTAAAATAACTGCTATGGGGATTTGGCCCAGACATGAACAGGAGATAATGTAAGAGTGGTGTCAGAGTTAAAAATGACTAAGATTTGACAGCTTAGTAGTGAATTTCTCAGTGTGTGTGTGTGTGTGTGTGTGTGTGTGTGTGTGTATATATACACACACATTTGTGTGTGTGTGTGTGTGTGTGGCGGGGGGTGGTGCAAAAGCAAATGACCCAACTCAGCAAAATCATCATTCTACTCTAAAGTCTCCCCTGTGTCACTGAATCCCCTTTCTCACATATCTGGAATATAGCCAATTTATCAATTAGGGTTCACTAATAAAAACAGAAGTCACCCTAGGTTTTCCAGGTAGGAGGGATTTTAATACAGGAATCAGAAGCTACACAACTGTTGACCAGGCTAGAAGAATGAAGGCCAGGGAAGTTAGTGCTGCTGATCTTAGCCTGTAGAACCAAAGACAAGGTTTCTCAAAATGGAAGTTAAGCTGCTGTGAATCTCAAGAATCTCTGGGAATTTGCCACCAATTATCTCAGCTGCCTACAGCATCAGGGTGGCCAATTAACAGGAGCTTGCCCAGGAGCCACTAAGACTTTTACATCTGCCTATCTGCCTGCCAAGAACTATTACTTGACAATAAAGGCTTCTGTAGCTCTTCTACCTTTCAAATCTCACACAAGTGGAAAACCAAGACAGATTCTAACCTAGAATTGTAAAGGGAAAGGTATTGCAGTAAATGAAGGAACTAGTCTGTCCCCTAAATGTTTTATAATTAAGCAAGTAGATGTGGGGTTTTTTTAGCATTTACACTTATATATAAAACATTTAGGATTTAAATGACAAATTTTTATGTTATAATTGTCACATAAAACCATAGCCTCATACAGTTTAAAATTTACAATCAAAACAGGGCACTCAAATGGTGTATCATACATCATTCATTTTACTTTTGTCATTATTTTTATACATACGACTAAAGAAAAAATACTCTGGAATAGTAGTGACGTATCATTAAAAGAACACTAGAGTTAAGGTGTTTGCATTTCTTACTCCTACTTTTGCTATTAACCAGCTATTTGAACCTATATAACCATTTAATTTGGGGGAGTCTGTGCTTTAAAATGAGAGGCACAGATTATACACATCAACTCATATTTTTTTTAACAAACGTGTATTGAGTAAGAACTAAATATCACAAACTACAATATAGACTAGGAATACAGAAACTAATAAGACAATCTTTATTCTTAAGAAGCTGAATGATTCTAAACCCTCTTCAATTTCTTAGGGACTATGATCTTATAATATGTATACCACAACTTTATCAAGTTAAGGTACCTAAATGAAAGCTTAAAGCATTAAGGACTTCTAGTAATATATTTAACATCAAACTGGGTATTACAAGATAGAAATATGGGGGGGGGAGGGAACATTTTATTCCTACCCTCATGAATTAACAAGAATTTTTGAAAGTAAAATAAGTAGAGTATAAATAAAGTGAACATAGTGAGTCTTTATAACAGAGAATTCTATTCTATTTCATTGATACACAAGAATATTTACTTCCTATAATAGAATTCAGTTCCAAAAGAAAGGCTATTAATAATTAGTCCCTAGCAAGCCATCTAAGTGCTTTTTAAAATTCATACCTTAGGAAAATTGAATTCAATATCAAATCCTGAAATCACTTTGTTCTAGAGATTATGAAATTTGCCTGAAGCATGTGAATCATACTGTAGATGCTGATTTGTACTGGATTTATGTAAAAATAGAATAGTGGTTATAATCTGAAATTGGGATGACTATTGTCACCGTTACTTTATCTGGACTTAGGTTTTTAAAAATACACTTTAAGGTACAGGACCTTATCATATATTAAAGCTATACTAGAAAAAAGGCAAGATTTCATTCTAAAAATACTCTTAACAAACAATGAAGAGTCTGATATTAATTACTCCAAAATATTACAATACTCTGTCAAAATAATTTTTATAAAATATATCGGGAATTATTTCATATATACTCTCCTTTAAACTTTAAAACTCCTATATTTTTTAGATATTATATTCTTTACAGGAACTGAAGAAAGTCCATCAAAATTCAATTACTGTTATGTAGTCTATATTTTCACTACTGACCATTATGAGCAAGACTTATCATATTATTATCAGGTAGAAAACATTTAATAGGCAAAAGAATATAATGATAACTATAAACTTCTCTAAAGAATCATAAAACACTTGATACTACTTAACCCATTGGTTATAATTGAAAGAAATGAAGCAATGCATCTAGGATTTTATATTTCACTTAATCCTTCAAAGATCCTGAAAAAGTAAGAGGCAAAATCTAAAATTATGCCTTTCTTTAGAATAAAAGTTAGAAATTTAATTTTTACTCCTATGGATCCTATTAATCCCTATTTCTGATATAACAATACCAGTATATATTTATTTTCACTTTTATTCACCTAATATCTACTCATCTTACTTCTCTTTATTGAAAATGAGGCTATTACAATTATTTTATCTTTCACCATATTATACTGCTTTTAACTAGAACCAGTTCATAGAAAATCACATTTTAAACATCCTAAATCTACCTTAATGGGTATCATTTCTATTCATGGCTTATTATTTTTTGTCGTATGAACTAACTACTCAATCTGTATCTAAATATTCTAGCTACATAACACATCTAGTGCTCCATTGTAAATGTTATTCTGACTAGGCATAATAGCTTGTGTAAGAAACCCTACCAATTAGAATCTTTAAAATTCCATGTCCAAAAATTATTCAGACTGAAGAGAAAACTCCAAATAAGAAGATTTTTTCCCAAGTAAAATCACTTTCCTAATCTTCCAAAGGTAGTCTCTGTTTATATACTGTGTATTAATTCATCATGTTTCTACCCTAATTTCCATTTTAATATTATAAACTTTATCATCATGTGTGGTTTGTGTTACTATACTACCTACATTACTGACCATATATTATACAATAATCAAGTATTTGAAAATATAAGCCAGTAAACATTTGAAAATATTTATAAGGACAGTGAAAGATTACATGGAAACTTGTAATATTCACATATTTTTAATTCAATTGAAGACAAACACAATTTTTAAGACTTATAATGACATGGAATGAAGAACCTGAAGATTAATAATTTCTGTAAATTCAAATTTTATATTATTACAATTAAGCACTACCTTTATGAAAATCTCTTACTCACAATCTTTATTAGTAGAGGTCACTAAAAAATTGTCATTTTAAAAATAAAAGGATATAAATGACATTTAAAGACTCGATAATCTGAAAAAACATCTCCGTCTTTATAAAAGCTTTATAAAGCATAGATATTGCTAAATAAACTAACATAATACTTCATTAATACAATTACACAATGCCAACCAAAATTTTAAATATAACATTGCAATCAAATTCCAAAATTCTAAGCTGTTCAAATACATTAAATCAAGGATTTAACAGAAGTATACTATCCTGTAAAACATGAAATATATAGGTTCCATTCCTGAGATTCCTACAAAAAGCTTTTAACAAATCAATTTATATTTATCAAAAACCATAAATCTTTTTTATATATCACAATTAATATTTAACATATTTTTATTGTTTTACCTTTTGTTCAACCAATGCACATCTGTCGAGCATGAAGCATCATGTTGACAAAAATACATCAATATTGTGCCAGGCAGTGCTTTCATTTAATCCTTCTAGCCCTGGCAAAATCATAGGAGCCATCCTTAATCAGATGATTTGAAAGTCTCTACTTGTTTACAATCATTTTATTTCAAAACTCAATTACTAAAAAGTTATATATAAAATAATCATTCAAGAATGAGATCATAAAATCCTCTAGTGATGGACCTGTTAAGGAAAAGGTTATTATTTAACGCTGTTACTATGTAGCTGTATATAGCTCCAGGTCAAGTAAGAATGTACCCTGTAAGGAGGATTATGGTACTTAGCTGATTAGTGCCTCACAATACTGAACACCAAATGCAACCTACATCCAAGGCATTTCTGGGCACTATACTTAAAACTGGCAGATGTAGAAATTTAAAAATCACATTCTCCTATATGAATTACAGTATTTCTAAAATAACAGAGTTCACTGTTATTGATAATTGTGCTGCCCAGCTTTCACCATAAAATGTATAGTGATGGCTTAACAGGCATATTCTGTAACTTCAATTATTCAATGACAAGTTTCTTAATCTTTACTAAAAAGACAATGCTTCCCCAAAGGTTCAGGAGGCAGCAGTTTCTATAGAAATTTAATTTAAAAACAATGTGCTCCATGAATTAAGAAGTTGGTTAGACACTAAGTTTAAATCAAGTTTTGCTCACTTTATCACTTAACATTTCAAGGCCTCCATGTAGTCATTCGACAAAAAGAAAAGAAAAAAGAAAGTAACACCATAAAAGCCAATTCCCTAGATGTTAATATTACGTCTCTCAGAATTATATTTAAATGATTATAAATAAATTTATATAAAAATGAGAAAAAGCCAGTGTCTGCAGAGTAGGGAGTAAAAGTATTGTTTTTTTGGTTTTACAAATATCAAGTTTAAATGAGGGTCTAGGAATAATATGTGGTAGCACCTTTAGTGCAAAATTAGTGCAAAATTCATCTATAGAATTTTCTTCTAGAATTAAACGTAGGTCTTGAAGAGATTGTGGGAGAAGTGGGGACAGAGAAAGTAATTTTTTACTTTGAGATTCCTAATAAAGACCTGTAGATTATTCAAAGAGAACAGCAGTAAAAATTCAAAATAATTCATTTTTCATAGGCATATAAAACCAATAATAAAATTCAACCATTTGGACCCTCACAGTTCATATCAAACTGAAAAAAAAATTCCCACAGATTATTTTGATTCTTTCAAACTGGTCAGTCCAGAAAATTTCAGAAACAACATTGCAATTGATGCTATAATCGCAAAGCTTCTTTCTCTTTACTTTTCTTTCTAGTCTCAGAACTACATCACTGAGTTCTCTTGATGGTGTTCATCCAACTGTAAAGCACACTCTGATGCCAATGTCTTTCTCTACCATTCACCTTGTTTCTAGTGTCTCTTATTTGTCCATCGCAGACTTTCATTTATATCACCTCTAATACCACTACTCTTTTCCCTTCACTCTCTACTGATCTTCCTAGGGCTTCAATTTCTTTCTCCCTTTCCCTCCATATGTTTAGTCTCCTTTTAGTACTATTTTCTCCATTTTTAACTCTTTACTTTTATAAGTTTTGTTTATTCCATTTGTAAGTACTTCCCATGCATTCAAATTTAAGAGGATCCAAACTGGAGTCTAAAAAGTTTTCATGTGAATTGTAATTTTAGTTTCCATTTGCTGAATAAGTATAAAATAACAAACTATTCTTTGACTCAGATGTCAGTTTAAATTAATTTTTATTTTATTCATGACAATATCTCCAACTTCTACTTGAAAAATGAAGGCCTTAAATATTCAAATCTATAGAAAATGGTGTGCAAATGACGCTCCCCTATAGTAACCCATTGTACCACTTCCCTCTCCCCACCATGTCTCCCAAAATTCCCATGTCAAAAATAAGCACAAAGATTGAAAACCATTCTATACTGGAAAATAATTTAAACTTATAATAGTTTTATTTTCCCTTCTTTAAGGTGTTCCACTGGAGTTTGTGGCAGCCTTAGGCAAAAATTTCATTGAGAAAAGATTTATTGAGAACAATACCAAGAAGCACAATGAGCAAGATAAGAGAAATAGAAGAGGAAAAAAAGTGTAAGTTAGTCAATAATACCTTACAAGTTCATCAATAATAAAGTGCTTGTCCCCTTTATATTCTTTTAGTATTGCAGTTCCTTTATTGAACTCCAATTCCATTTTTCCCTTCTTTTTCTATTTGCTCCAAAGAGACAACTCATAGATATTTAGGTTAGGGCCTAAAACTAACATTATTCAGAAAGAGAAATCTCTTCCTACAAAAGGAAACAAACACACCTAGAAGTATATACCAAAGAAAAACAATTGTTTCTTATCTGCACGCCAAACATGTGTATAATTAATTTTCATCTTGGGTATTTCCTTCTCGGGAAAAAAAAAATCTTACAGTGTTTTAAAATATGGAAATATAGATAAGGGGATTTAAGTAGAAACAAGAGTCTCTCAGTTAATGGCAATTCTTTCCTTCTAGTTGCTCATCCAATTCATGAGGAAATCTTGTTAGATCTACCATCAGAATATACCAGAGTCTAAACACTTCTCACCACCTTCATTGGTACAAACCTGGTGAAGTCACCATAATTTGTTGCATCAATTTTTGCAAAAGTTTCCCAGCCTGTCTCCCTACTTCTACCCTATCCCCCTAAAGCCCAGTATCAACACAGCTGCAAGAATGTAAGTCAGACTGTGTCACTAAAAAGCTAGAAACCCTTCAGTAACTCCTTATTTTGCTTATGATGAAGACCAAATTCCTTACAAGGTCTATGGGATCTGACACCTATTCCTCTCTGGTGCCACCTCCTACTACTGCTCGCTCCTTGTTCCCTCAGATCCAGCCACACTGGCTTCCTAACCTGCATGCTCTCACCTTAGGACCACTGCTTTAGCAGGGTCCTAGAGGGATCTGCCTGGAATGCTGTTCTTTCAAGTAGCAGTAGAGATATCATCTTGTATTCTAGTCATTAGAGACCTTCTTCAAGTCTATCCTCCAATCTTACTGTATAAAGGAATCCTGCCATAACCACTCTATTTCATACTTCAGTCTCCTCCTGTGCCCCTCTGCACTCTGATTCCCAATCTCCATTACCTGCTGTACATTTTTATCTTTTTCTTAACACATCACCTTCTAACTACGATTTTTAATTTATATTTAGTATTTTTGTCCACATGCAAAATTTTAATTTTATATGCATGGATCAGCATTTTGGCCACTTTAGCCCAATGCCTGGCACACAGAAGGTACTCAGTAACTACTTACTAAATAAGTAAATAAAGATACATAAGCATGGAATCTTTTAAACTATGTTAAAAATAGATTTTATTTGCCTAATTACACAGCTATCTATGATACAAACTTAATAGTATTAGCCAAAACTAACAAATATAAATTCACAAATTACCCAAAATACAACTCTGACATGAATTAGCAAAAGATATGCCTTCAATGTATGTCTCAAGAAGATCAAACTCTTAATTCTCCCAGCTACTAAATTATTTTGTTGTTTTGTACCAGTGATTTGAGAATTTAAGTGATTTTTTCCCAGAGACATGGAGAAAACTGCATTGCTTGAGATAGGGAAAGGTGGGGAGTTAAAGAAAAACTGTTTCTTGATTGCAGAACAGAAAGAACCTTTGAAAAACAGAACTACAGCTCTGTCAATTAGCCTGCCACTAATCTGCCTAAATTAAATTCTTTTAGAGAATGGCAGTACAAAGAAAGCACTTGCTAAACAAGATTTTTCTTGGAAGAGAATTCATAATGACCAAATCATACATATTTGGAGCACTTAGCTAAACAACAACAACAACAAAATCTTATTTAAATGGGAGAACCTTCATTGTACCAGTATAGAATGTGGTAATAGAATGTTTCTTATATGTCTCTTCTATGTTATATAAATACACACATAGCATGTTATATATCTCCAAACAAAGCTGAAAACAGTGACACAAATTATTTTTACATCATCTTCACATTCAGGTCTGACTCAAATAAATTAAAGAAACTCAATTTATCTTTCAGTTAACAGAAAGTTCTTTTTCACACAGAGAAAACAGCACCTAACATCTACATGTCAGCATGACATGTAGGTAGTTCCTAGCTATCAATATCAATATTGCATTGCTTCAAATGCATTGCATTCAGCCTCACTGTTTACATAGCAATGTATTTTTGGAAGATAGATACTCTTATTCCTTAATTCATTAAGATCAGTAAAATACTATAAAGTAGATTCTAGCATATTGTCTTCAAAGGTGGCTGAAATTCATAATTATAGTTGACCCTTGAACAGCACAGGTTTGAACTGTGAAGGTCCACTTATATGTAAATTTTATTCAATGAATATATTGGAAAATGTTTTGGAGATTTGTGACAATTTAAAAAAACTCTCAGATGAACCAGGTAGACCTGAAATATCAAAAAAAATTAAGTTAGATATGTCATGAATGTATAAACTATTTGTAGACACTGGTCTATTTTATCACTTAATAACATAAAATATACACAAATTTATTATAACAATTTGAAACTTATGCACACAAACACAGGTGCCATTTGCAGTCAAGAGAAATATAAGCAAACATAAATATGCAGTATTAAATTATAATTGCATAAAATTAACTGTGGCACATACCATACTACTGTAATAATTTCAAAGCCATCTCCTGTTGCTATTGTAGGAAATCAAGTGTTGCAAGTAGTCACTTAAAATACAGTGTGATCATAATCATCTCTATGTGAAAAATTTGTCTCTCCAGGAAATTGTGTCTCACAGTAAAATGTGATCACAGGCCCTTCTCAACATACTCTTTATCATGTTTTTAGTGCAATATCATAAACCTTGAATAAACACCATGGGATCCATATGAACTGATACTAGTGATGATGCTGGAAGTGCTCTCAAGAAGCAGAGAAAAAATCATGACATTACATGAAAAAGCTGAATTGCTTTATATGTACCCTAGATTGAGGTCTGCAGCTATGGTTGTTTGCCATTTCAAGATATATGAACCATTGTAATAAAAAAGGAGGGGGGAAATTTGTGAAATTGTCACTGTAACTATGCCAGCAGGCATGAAACCCTGCACATTTTGTGAAATAACTTTTTATTTCATATTGAAAATGCACCTTATGTGGGTGCAAGATTGCTATAAGAAAGGCATACCTATATAGATTCATACAATCTGAGAAAAAGTGAAGTCATTTTATGACAACTTATAGGAAAAGGAAAGTGAAGGATCTAAAGCTGGAGAACTTAATACCAGCAAAGGATGGTTTGATAATTTTAGAAAGAAGTTTGGCTTAAAAAATGTCAAGGTAAATGGAGAAGCAGCTTCTTCTGACGAAAAGGCAAGAGAAAAGTTCCCAGGTGCCATTAAGAAAATCATTAAGGAGAGAGTTATCTGCCTGAACAGGTGGTTAAGGCGGACAAAAGTACTCTATACTGGGGGGGGGGGGGGGCAGAAAGTCACAAAGAGGACATTTATTAGTAAGGAAGAGAACTGAGCATCAGGATTTAAGGCAGGAAGGAAAGGCTAACTCTCCTGCCTTGTGCAAATGCAGACAAGTTTATGATCGGAACTGCTCTTATCTATAAAGATACTAACCCTGGATGCTTGAAGGGAAAAAATAAACAATAGCTGCCAATCTTTTGGGTATAGGAAAAAGGTCTAGACAATGAAAACCCTTTTCTCAGACTGGTTCCTTTGATGCTTTATTCCTGAAGTCAGGAAGTATTTTGCTAGCAAGAGATTTCCTTTTAAAATTCTTTTGATATTGGACAATGCCATTGGCCACCCAGAACCCCATGAGTTCAACATCAGAAATGTTGGTCTACTTGCCCCAAAACACAGTGTTTCTAATTCAGCCTCTAGATCATGGGTCATAAGGATTTTTGAGTCTCTTTATACAGGGTACTCTATGGAAAGGATTGTCTATGCTATAGAAGAGAACCCTGATAGAGAGAATATAATGAAAGTCTAGAATGATTACATGTACACTGAAGATGCCATCATTGTTATAGTAAAAGCCATCAAGCTCAAAACAATACATTCTTGCTGGAGAAAACTGTGTCCAGATGTTGTGCTGACTTCACAGAATTTACAACAGAGCCAATGAAGGAAATTATGAAAGAAACTATGGAGATGGCAAAAAAGGTGGGAGGTGAAGGGTTTCAAGATATTGATTTTGGAGAAATTCAAGAGCTAATAGACACCACATCAGAGGAATTAAGAGAACATGATGTGATGGTGATGAGCACTTCTGAACCACTGCCAGTTGATGAGGAAGAAGACATAGACGAAGTGGTGCTAGAAAACAAACTGCCATTAGGCAATCTGGCAGAAGGGTTCCAATTATTCAAGACAACTTTTGACTTATTTTATGATATAAACCCTTCTATCACCCAAGCACTGAAATGGAAGCAAATGGTGGAAGGATTGGTATCAAACAGAAACACTTTTAGGTAAATGAGAAAGCAAAAAGTCAGACAGAAATTATAATGTATTTCCATAAAGTTATACCAAGTGTGCCTGCCTCTCCAGCTTTCCCTTCCACTTCCTCCATTTCTTCCACCTCAGGCATCCCTGAGACAAAACCAACTCCTCCACTTCCTTCTCCTCCTCAACCTACTCAATGTAAAGAAGACAAGGATAAAGTCCTTTATGATGATCTACCTCCACTTAACGAATAGTAAATACATTTTTCTCTTCCTTATGATTTTCTTCATAACATATTCTTTTGTCTAGCTTACTTTATTGTGCAAATATAGTGGATAATATACATAACATAAAAAAATAAGTTTTAATTGACTGTTTATGTTATCGGTAAGGCTTCCAGTCAATGGTAGGCTAACAGGAGCTGTGTTTTGGGAGAGTCAAAAGTTATACATGGATTTTCAACTGCACAGTGGGTCAGCACCTCTAACCTACTAATTATTCCAGGGTCAACTGAATATCTTGGGATGCCATTGTTTTCACTCTATTCCCAGTCTCAGAAAGTCTTTCCCAAGTCCATATATTCACACTACCAAAGCATTGAAACATAATGGAAATTACAAGGAAGGTTTCCTGAGGAGGTGAAGAAGCACTTCACCGCATTAAACAAAACTATGAAATACCTCTTTTTAACAATTCTACTCTTTCTTTGAAGTAAATCTCTCTTCCATAAAATCTCCTAGGGCCAGGTGTGTGGCTCATGCCTGTAATCCTAATACTCTGGGAGGCAGATGCGAAAGGATCACATGAGGTCAAAAGTTTGAGATCAGCCTGAGCAAGAGCAAGGTCCCATCTCTAATAAAAATAGAAAATTTGGCCAGGCGTAGTGGCACATTCCTATAGTTCCAGCTACTTGGGAGGCTGAGGCAGGAGGATTACTTGAGTCCAGGAGTTTGAGGTTGCTGTGAGCTAAGCTGACACACTCCTCTACAAATTTCCTCTGCCAGTGATGTATTAGAGCAAGCAAAAAAAAAAAAAAAAAATTGTGATGGAACTAGGCCCCAGATAAGATGAGGAGACAGAATGTAATCAAAGACACTAGTGGGGCTGAGCTCTGTGCAAAAATATTGTTAAATTTCATTAAGTATTTCCAGTAATCTGATAATATTTAAAAACATGGTGTTCTTTTTTAAACACCGCATTAAAAGAGAGTATCAACTAAGAGGCATACCTGAGACCATGAGGATGGTGAGTCACCACATTAGCCAAAAGAGTTATGATTTTCTTTTAAATGTGGATATGTAACTGATAGAAAATAATATCACACTATGAAATTATTTGCTTACCCTTTAATTTATATCTGTTCTCTAAAAATAGGTTAGGGAACAAGCTAAAAATATGTGAGTTTGGGGGTTATTTAAAGTCTTCTAGATGAAGAAAATAGGAAATATACTCTGGAAGTAACTAGTAAGTATCCGTTGTTAGCTCTGTGTCATCTATTTCTCTTCCTTCTTGGAATGGAAGAAATGTCTCCTTCATTCCAAGCTTTATGATTTGGATTGAACTGGCCTCGCCTACTCCAGGCATAAGCCATAATTAACAGAGCTAATCTGAATGCACCATTTCTGTTCAGAATGACTAACACAACAACCTAAGCTCATCCAATCACAGTGACTCTTAAGAATATTGGTCTGAGACACAGATTTCCTGTTTCATGCTTGAAGACTCATGTAACTTTCAGAGTTACTAGAAGACAATTCAAGGCCATGAGTTGAGGGGAACCTTCCTCAAATATAGTCAACATCCGGTTAGTGACAATTAAAAATAGAAAGAAAGGAATTGGGTTCTGAGTCACATCATATAAGATTCAGGATCTTGAATCAACCTCACCTGAATCAACATACACCTCTGAAGTTTCCAATCAGGTGAACAAATAAATTCTCTTTATTTTTAAGCCAGCCTCAGCTAGGTTTTCTATTACTTGCAAGTAAAATCTTCTTGGCTGAAACAAAATGTTTGATACAGACCCTAAAGTCTATATGTTACTTTATCATCAGTTGTCATGATATTTATGAACTCTTTTTCTATGGAAATTGATTTTTCCTTTATGAAAAGGAAAAGGAAATTGGTTTTTCCTTTATGAAAAGTTAGGTACTCTGGGACCCTTATACATGCTGTAATCATATGGTTTCTTTAAAGTATTTCTAGTTTTACAGTAAAAATAGCCATTTAATGAGATCAAAATCTTTTTTGAGATAAAAAAATCAAAAGATTATATATTTAATATTAAATTTTATATGATAATTATACTAGGCTTGTTCTATTTAAAACTAGAAAGAGATAACAAATCATAACCAATATGTCTGAAACAACAGAAACAAGCTGCTTTTTTAAGTAATTCACCCCAAGCTGTAACAAGCTGCTTTTTTTAAGTAATTTTAAGTAACTACCCCATCCAATTGCTAAGCTAATTCAGAAATAGAAAAAATATTATGGCACATGAAATATTACCTCTGTTATTGAAAAAATGAAATTAGAGAATTGGTCTATATCTATGAAAAAGTGGGCTTCCTAATACCATGCCTCAGAATCATACCAACATACCCATCCAGGCATAGACAACACTGGTCTGAGACTATTTTATGGCCTGTTCCTATAAAACTTGTGGCAAGAACAGGAGAGAATATATGTGCTCTCTGAGATGCTTGTTCCCAAGAGAAAGAAAAAAGACAAAGATTTTTCTACTTATCCCCACTTCATTATCCTGAAGAACAGAGCAGAAAAGGGAGTAGAAGAAGGTCAGAAACATTATTCTAGTGCACATGAGAGGAAATATAGCAGTAAAGAAAGAGGGTACCCTACCTATCAAAATCCTAGAACATTTAAGTCTAGAATTGTATTCAGTTAAA